ATGTGTATGTTCTTTATTTCTTAATTAGTTAATTAGGAGATATGATGATTACCTTATTTTGCTATCAATTACTTGCACAAATTTATATGATAATGGTGATTTGAGTTAGAAAAGCCCAAAAATATTATCCATTTAGAAAACCACAAATATAATGGTGATTTGAGATTTAGAAAAGCCAAAACTATTATCTTTATTATATATATATATATATATATAAATATATGGATCTTAAAAATGTAATTTACTATATATATACATTTGTTTGTTCTTTCTATTAACGGATAAATAACACAGATGAAATACCGTTTGTAGTTGACTACAAACCATTTTTCCGTCTATTTCAATAGCGATATGCAAATTTAATATTATTTTCGACTTGATAAAATATAGATATCTATTAAATTATTTTATATTGTACAATTGCTAAAAAAAATTGACAATTTTTTGCAGGTTTCTATAGGATTATTTTAATTCATAATTGTTCTACTTATTTTATATTACTTATGAATTATATTTATATTTTTATCACATTTTCTTTGGGATTGTGATATCTATGAGATTTTTATCACATTTTTTAATGTCACTGTCTCCTGTATATTTTTCTTACATTTGTTTTTTAATAGTTAACTTTTATTAAAAACATACTAATGATGTTAATTTTTTTTTACTTTAGTTAACTTTCATTTGTTTTATTCTTATATACTTTTGTGACTTTTTATTTTTTGTTTCAGTTTAATATTGAATTTAGTTCACATACTTTATGTGTATATGTTTTAAAACATAATTTTTCTTTAAAAAATTAAGCGACAAAGATCCTAATTATCCAAAAACAAACCGAACTGGATATAAATTGAATTAGACATAAACAACACCGAACCAGACTAAATAAGGTTTATTTCAGTTGAAAAAATATATTAAAACCGAACTAAACAAACCAAACCGAAAAAGTAACGATTTGTCCACCCCTACTACATCCTAGAGATTTGCGCAAATTTTTTCTCAGCATTGAAACTCCCACTTGTTCTACTAACTCCCACATTTGAACTCAATAGATACTCCTCTCTCAGCATTATATTATATTTTTATACCCGCACAGGGTGCGGGTCGGTCACCTAGTTGACATTAATAACTATACAATACATGTATGAAATGAACATATCTCAAACTTTCCTAATAACATATTATCTAAATAAACATATAAAAATCTGTTAAACGGTAATCTAACTTTGAAACTAACTTAGTATAAATTAATTAAGGAAAATTTGCCAAATATGACTTAAAAATTGGTTTCAAATGCAAAAGTAAACACAAACATGAAGCAAATGAAAAAGTAACCTAAAAGACTATTGAAATTACAACCAGCCCCTTATGAACAAACAAAAAACCCGATTTTTTTTTACTTTTCTAACCCGCGCAACTATTTTGTCCAGACGACTTTCAATTCAGTCGTCTGGACGACTTAGTTGAAAGTCTTCTAGTACAGTTATTCTTAAAAATAATTTAAAAATTTTGTAAAAAAAATATTTAGATAAATGAAAAATTGAAATCATGTAATTAACATATGTTTTAAGAGATATAAATTAAGATATAACAAAATTTAATTGTTTTCAACATAGATGAGTGAAAGTAGTGAGTCATGATATTCTTTGTTTTAGGTTTTGCCAACATATTTTGTAGTATTGTATGTGTTTCTTAGGGTTAGGTTTTTGAAACATTTAAATTTACCTAAGTGTGTTTATTTTTGTGTATAGTAAACACTATTTAAGTATAATTTGATTTTATAACGTGGTGAGTTAGTTAATTTAGTTAATTTAGTTTAGTGTCAGGACGACTTACTATTAAGTCGTCTGATAAATATATTTAAGGCAGACGACTTACGAATAAGTCGTCTAATGTATAGTATTCAACAGACGACTTACTAATAAGTCGTCCAAACTGGACCGAACCTTTGATTTTACCAATTTACTTTTAAACCTAACCGGATTTTTGATCTGACATATATAAGATTTTTTTTTATTACTCACTTTTTCGCGAAATTCAGAAAACCCTAACACCGTTTCTCTCAAAGGTGATTTCAAAGGCGATTTCCGTCGAATCTCTCTAATCCATCGTTCTCACCGCCGGTAATCTCTCCACCTTACCACCATCGTTATCACCACCGTTCTCACCGTCGCTTCTTCTATTTCAGATTTGAGAGTAAACCCTAGCGTCGTTTCTCTTAGAGGCGTTTCGTCGAACTCCGCCACCGGTAAGTTATATCTAAAGAAGAACATGAAACATCGTTCTCACCGTCGTTCTCATTGTGCTTCTTTTTTCATGTCTATTTTTTCAGATCTATACCATTGTGTCGAAGGTGACTATATCTTCTCCGAATTTTCAGGTCAGCTTTACAATGTTCTACTGGAAGTCTCGGAAGACTTGACAGACGACTTAATTATAAGTCATCTGTAAAGTCTTCCAGACTTATAAGTAAAATGTTATACTGGATGGTTGTGTGTTTGAGATGGTTGTCGATTGTTTTGCAGAAAAAAATAGATATTCCTGAACTCCCCCGTAGGATACATACAGTAGGGCAAGAACCCCCCGCATTGCATAGCAGTATGTATCATCCGTGTATGAAGTTGTATACTGCTCTAAGGAATGCTCTTAATGATGACGAATATGAAGAGCTGAAGGAGTCTATGTTGGGAGTTTTCATCAAGTTCCAAAAGCTGGAATTTGATTGGGTTTCCAGGCTGGTTCACTACATACTCGGTTTCTAGCTCGACATAAAGAAGAAGTATGAGCTGTGGAGTCTTGTTGGTCCACAACCTTTGAGGTTTTCACTGTTAGAGTTTGAATACATAACTGGTCTAAACTGCGAGTACATCGAGGACCTTGAGAGACCAAACTGTTCTGTTACAAAGGAGTTGGCTGCTTTCTGGGAGGTCATGTCGAAGCAGGGCCAACTACTCAACAGATAACGGCAGCATTTGAGAGAT